GGGGGGGGGGGGGGGGGGGGGGGGGGGGGGGGGGGGGGGGGGGGAAGTTGTGTGTGCCGTTGTGGGTGTGTGAGTGGGTGTGTGTGTGTGTAGTGTCTGTCGGAGACAGAGATCATGCTGATCTCGCTGAGCTGTGATAGGGTTTTACAGCCCCAATGCGAGCTGTGGATTCCCCAAACACCCCCCTCCCTGTCTCAGGCTGTGTGTTGCTTGCAGAATGGATACACCCCATTGCACATCGCAGCCAAACAGAACCAAGTGGAGATTGGGAAGAAACTGCTGGAACATGGAGCATCAGCTGACACCGAGTCCTTTCAGGGAGTGAGTCCCTTACACCTGGCTGCACAGGATGGTCATGTCGACATGGTGGCACTCCTGCTGGAGCATGGAGCGAACGTCAGCCTGGGCAGTAAGGTAATCACCAGGAGAAGCACGGCAACTCTCACACTCTCACAGTAGCTTCAAGGGGAGGGAGGGCCAGCACCATGACCCAGTCTCCGCCGAGAGATTTCCTAAAGTCGGGGACGGTGAGGGGCTCGGAGGGTGAACTTGCAGGGGGTGGTGTTCCCATGTACCTGTTGCCCCTTGTCCTTCTGGATGGAAGTGGGTCGTGGGTTTGGAAGATGCTGCCTGAGGGGCCTCGGTGAGACGCTGCAGTGCATCTTGTAGATGGTACACGCTGCTGTTACTGAGCGTCGGTGGTGTGGGGGGGAGTGGGATGTTTGTGGATGTGGGGCCAATCGAGCGGGGGGCTGCTTTGTCCCTGGATTGTGTCGAGCTTCTCGAGTGTTGTTGGAGCTGCCCTGGTCGGTGTAGAGGGAGCCCCATAGACACAGTGAAGTGGCTGACTGTCTGGTGGGAATCTGACTGCATGGGATGTTGATCAGATTTCCTGAAGATGGGAATCCTGTGTCCCACCGGGAGGAGCTGGGTGGGTAGCTGTGCACGCGCTCACTGTCACTTGAGTTTGTGTGGGATCGTGCTGCGCACAGTGACTGGAGCCTGCTTCAGGCCCGGCCCTCCAGGAGGCCCTGCCCCTGCTCAGTGCGCTATTGCCCAGTGTGCAGCATCAGGAACATTGGCCTTCCGTAATGGGCCCCTCGTGTTGCAGGCTGTGGGATCTTGCTGTGCACCAGCACTATCCCTGCATCACAAACAGTGATGCGTCCGCAGTATTTGTTTGGCCATGGGGCTGTGATGGTGCTGCTGCTATATCAATGCAGGGTGCTGCAGGTTTTGACCCTCCCCCCTGCAGACAGGCACAGACTGGGGACCAGGGTGTGCAGGCAGAGCCAATCCCCGGTCAGTGACACATACTATCCCTCCATGTCTGTTTGCAGAATGGCCTGACGCCGTTACATCTGGTCGCCCAGGAGGACACGGTCCCTGTCGCTGAATTACTCATCGATCACCAAGCATCGGCCGAGCCAACGACCAGGGTAACAGCGCTCGGGTGGTGGGGAGGCCAATCAACTCGTTCAGAGCCCTCACACTCCCCACTGCTGCAGGACACACACTCACACTCACACACTCACACTGACACACTCACACTGACACACACACACATACACTCTGTCACACACACACACACACACACCCTCACACTCACACACACACACTCTCACACTCACACTCACACACACACAGACACACGCACACACACACAGTCACACACACACACACAGACACACACACACTCACACACACACACACACGCACTCTCACACACACACACGCACACGCAGACACTCACTCTCTCACACAGACACACACTCTCTCTCACACACACAGTCACACACACACACTCACACTCACACACTCACATACTCATACTCTCACACATACACACATTCACACACACTCACACACACACACACTCACACACAGACCCATGCACACTCACACACACACTCACACTGACACACACACACACACACACACACTCACACACGCTCACACACACACACGCTCACACACACACTCTCGCACACGTACACACACTCTCCCTGACAGTGAGGTTAGGGACAGAGACCGTGCTCCCTGAGAGTGAGGTTAGGGACAGAGACCGTGCTCCCTGAGAGTGAGGTTAGGATGGAGACTGTGCTCTCTGAGAGTGAGGTTAGGATGGAGACCGTGCTCGCTGAGAGTGAGGTTAGGATGGAGACCGTGCTCCCTGAGAGTGAGGTTAGGATGGAGATCGTGCTCCCTGAGAGTGAGTTTAGGGACAGAGACCGTGCTCCCTGAGAGTGAGGTTAGGGACAGCGACCGTGCTCCCTGAGAGTGAGTTTAGGGACAGAGACCATGCTCCCTGAGAG